CTCCAGTAATATTTCCGGCCAGACCCACTGTCCCACTATTTCTATGTTTGGTGCGAATAGCAATGCCGTGCAGAGAAATCCAAGGCTGTGACGTTCTGTTTTGATAGAGCTTTACAGGCCATATACTGTAGTTCCTTAGAATCTGCATCTTTGGTGAAAGATTCTCGCATACCAACTTATTATTCTTGCTCTGTCATACCCTTTCCTTTTTTCAGAGAAGTAATTAATCATGCTGTAGGTAATTTATAAATTAGCTGCTAACAGTGGCATTTAGAAATTCATGCAGCCCATAAAATGTTTCATCTGGGCAGAAATTATGAGGATGGTCAGTTCGAGAGCTAATTGGAATGTAAGCTCAGCGGCTACTGTGAGTATTGGATTTGATAGTCAGTCTAATATAGATATGAGAGTCATTAAAGCCTTAATAAATCTGACCGTCAGTCAGAAATGAACTCACATGCTATAAAGCTGTGTTTGCACCTATTTTAGTTTTCAGCAGATCAGCGTCACCGTGGGAACTCTGGCGTCCTGATTCATTCCTAATTTGTTACGGCAGATTGCAGCTTCCAGCCCTCTGTCTGACAGCATGTACAAAAGAAGTGGGGAAAAGTGAGATTCTCCACTCCTACACCATTTTTCAACAATGTGGAGGCAGGCAGAGAGGCATGCCACGCTGGTAGCTCTGGCCCACCCAGACTGCAGCCTGCTGTCCCTCTCAGTTGTTCAGTCCCAGCGGGCAAACAAAGCCGACGCAGGGAGGCAGGTTGACATGGAGGGGGAGGAGGTCCTTGGTGCACAGCTGTCACTATGTGCTCTAAAAAAAGTGTTTCACGAGACAAGGAGAGACAGAGACTGAGGACGATCTTAGCTTTGATCTTTGATCCCTAGCAGTTTTTCATGCTGACATTTTGTGAAATTGTGTATTAACTGTGAAGGTAATCCCTATATGGGTATGTGATTAGAAGACTAAAATTGAGTTTAAATGTTTTAACTCAATTTCTGTAAAATTTACTGATCATTTATAGGCATTTTTAAGGTTGATTAATTGTGGCAGCCATTTTTTAATTGGGTTAATGCCAGAAGTTCCCAATGGAATGCACTTTGTGGAATAAATTTTTGAGAGTTGCATTAAAATCTGTCATTTGGTTCATTAGACATTTCACAAGCATGTATTGATGAAGGCACGTACAAGATTGCTTACTTTTTATGGTGGCAGGCAATAAATATGCATAAAATGTGCAAACGTCTTGAGTCATCCCTCACTCTTTATATTTTGCTTCCAAGCAGCCAGACATTTTTGTAGTCTTTTAAGGTACTGCTGTTTGATCATTTTCAGGCTCTCTGGAGTTCTTTTAAGGATTTTCTTTAAACTTGGCTGCTTTTTTCAGGTACTTTTGGTCCAGTATTTTGACCTGACCATTTACAGCACAAGAAATAATTGAAGTTTCTGTTTTTGTTTATTTAGTTGCTTGTTTGTTGAGTCACTGAACTCTTATGTGGGAATAAGTGAGGTATAAAATGATCCTGAAGCACAGGTAGGCAACATTTTACTTTTAAGTGTATTTTGGCTTTTTAAAGGGATTAAAAGATAATAAATTAAAGGGAAATATAGGGACAAGGCCTGCACACATCTGCAAAAATACACAAAAAAAGACTGCTCTTTTTGCATAACTACATGAAGTTAACCTTTGTTGTGTTTTTGTAGATTGTTGAATGTTTGTTTTATGTTAGTAAGCTTTCAGACAAATACTGTACGTCAGATGATCTTTTAAAAGCTTTTACTATTTGTCATGATTTATCAGAATTAACCAATTAAACATAATCCCTATAACACTTTTATCAATCTATCCTTCCAATCATCAATCCATCCATCCATCTGTTTTTTTGGGGTTTATTTACCCAATCTTTTGTTTTTGAGTCTTGAGGAGATGGTGCACTCGCAGAGTGTGTTCCAACCACAAGAGGATCACAATTCTAAGCTTCCCTGGTAAGGTCTTTTCAGGGGTCCTGGAGAGGAGGGTCCATCAGATAGTCAAATCTCAGATCCAGGAAGAGCAGTGTGGTTTTCATCCTTGTTTTAGAACACTGGACCAGCTCTACACCGAAAGCATAGTCCTGGAGGGTTGCAAGGGAGTTTGCTCTACCAGTCTACATGTGTTTTGTGTACTCTGTGAAGGCATTCAACCATGTTCCTTGGAGAGTCCCGAGTGAGGTACTCTGGGAATATGGGGTACCAGGCCCTTTTATACAGGCTGTTAGGTCCCTGTACAACAGAGTCTGGTCCGCATTGCTGGCAATAAGTCTGGCTCATTTCCAGTGAGAGTTGGACTCTGCCAAGATTGTCCTTTGTCACTGATTCTTTTATGGACAGAATTTCTAGGCGCAGCCAAGGTGTTGAGGGGATCTTTTTTTTTAACTCTTAAGGACAGAATTTCTAGGCGCAGCCAAGGTGTTGAGGGAATCCATTTTGGTGACCTTAGGATTCCATCTCTGCTTTTTTCAGATGATGTGGTCCTATTGGCTTCATCAGATCATGATCTCCAGCTTTCATTGGAGCAATTCACAGCCAAGTGTAAAGCGGCTGGGATGAGGATCAGTGACTCCAAATCCAAGACCACGGTCTTGAGCTGGAAAAGGGTAGAGTGTCTCCTCCGGGTCGGGGACGGGGTCTTGTTCACAAATGAGGGAAGAATGGAGCGAGAAATTGATAGGTGAATTGATGCTGCGTCTGCAGTGATGCAGATCTGTCATGGTGAAGTGAAAGCTGAGCTAAAAGGCGAAGCTCTCAATTTACCGGTTGATCTACATTCCTATACTCATCTATGGTCACGTTTTAGATAGTGACCAAATGAAATCGCGGATAAAGCGGCCGAAACAAGTTTCCTCTGCAGGGTGTCTGGCTTGTCCCTTAGAGATAAGGTAAGAAGCTCGATCATCTCAGAGTAGAGTGACTCAGAGTAGAGCCACTGCTCTTCCACATTGAGGGGAGCCAGTTGAGGTGGCTCGAGTATCTGGTTAGGATGCCTCCTGGACGCCTCCCTGGGAAGGTGTTCCAGGCACGTCCCACTGGGAGGAGACCCAGAGGAAGACCCAGTACACGCTGGAAGGACTATGTTTCTCGGCTGGCCTGGAAACGCCTTGGGATTCACCCAGCAGAGCTGGCTCAAGTGGCTGGGGAGAGAGAAGTCTGGGTCTCTCTGCTTAGACTCAAGGGCCACTTCTCATGTTTTGTCCATGTGTGTCCTAAACTCAAGGGATGAACCTGAGTTGTATCAACTCATAACAAAGAATCAGCGTTAGGCCTTCTGGCTACTTGGAAGCAAAGAGGATATAAATCAGAGGAGGTTAAAAACCTTTTCACAGTACTTCATAAAAAATCCTTCAACTTGTACCAAAGGACTAATGTAAAATTTTATGAACCAGTCCAGCAAACAGTATTTTTTCATTGTTATTTTTATCCACCTGAATGTGTAGCAGCTAGTAAAATACCTGGATTATTCTGCTCCCATTCATAAAAACACCTTTGTTTTACTCATTGAAATTTAAAACCTACTGATTTTCTTGATGCCATACCAGAAGCAGCTTTTTTTTTTCTTCAGGCTGTGTTCATTGATAATCCTTGATGATAGCCACTGACTAAGCTTCTCCTTATTTCAGCCAGTCAAAGACTTTCTGTAGCTGAAATGTGAGTGTTGTTGAGGACTGGATGCATTTGCACTGTTGAGCTTTTGTACAAACCTTATAAGTCACAAACTGTTTTTGTTTAATAGTAAATTATTGTAAGAAAGTATATGTTTTCTAATTTTATGTATTTGGTGGAGTTACATTTGAGGAAATTGGCATGACAGAGAGACAGCATGCATATTTTCTGTATTTTTAGCAGGAAACCTGAGCATAGAACAGGATTGTAGGTAGCAGCCATAATTAAGAGTATCACAAGAATTACTCAGATTAATTTTTTAATCCGTTTTTGATGTTTGTTTGAGATTATTATTGTTGTTGTTGTCATTGTTGTTGTTGTTGTTGTTGTTGCTATTCTAGGGTCCTCTGGAGTTGTTATCTGAACACCGTTTACTCTTTGTTGACGAGGTTTGTTTCCATTAATATTCTTTGCTGGAAACAAACTTTCACTCGTAAGAAAAATGACTGCAGTCTCTGTCTCACTGAAGCTTTATGTGAGGCGTTTTTTTTTTTTCTGAACTTTCCTTTTTGATTAAAGCTTACCTAAGTTTATTGTCTGGTTCACTTTGCAGTTTTAAGATTCACTGTCTGCCACCAAAAGCTGAACAATAAAGATTTTGTGTTTTTTGTGTTTGTCTGTTGGCAAAATATCACATGAACCATTTGGACAGATTCAATTGGAATTTTCAGGACATAATTATCACATTCACAATTGATTAACCTTCAGCTCGATTCAAGATGGCGGCCACAGCCAACATAAAAGAGCTATAACTCAGTCCACTGTGCAGATATTGTGCTAAACGTTGGTGTAGCTGAGACGTACTCAGAAGTCATTTAATCTGACAGATTCATGAAGTAGTCAGCATCAAGCCAATGATCCATACTGATCTGAGAGTCAGGGGGATTATATGAGTCATGTGAACTAAGGTTGGGTTAAGGGTGGATCAGATTTAGAGCTTTAGATATTCCTTGGTGAGTGTGGTTTTGACTTTACATCGAGGACTTTGAATCATGTGGTTTCAGTCCAGCTCACAGTGTGTAAATTAAATGAAGAAGGAATCAATATACTCCCAAATGAAGCTTGAAAGAAACTATAAATGACATATATTTGCCGTTGAGGCAAATTTTGAGGAAACCTGGGTATTAAGCTATCATGTTTCTCCTCCAAAATAAAATGCTCCTTTTCTTCCCCTTCATCCCAGAGCTCACCGCAAATTGCAGTTTACATGCTTCAGTGACTCTTAATATGAACAAAGTAGATTGTGGTACAGTGTAAAAGAGCTCTGAATGAATGAAAGCTCTTTTTTATCTTCCCATAGGAGGAAACAAACTCAAACCTCAACCATTCCGGCTCAACTGGGCCTGGGTCTCTTTGGAGCGGGAATACTACCTGGTGGATGAGGACGCCAAGTTCTTGGAGGTGACCCTGAAACGCAGAGGCTACCTGGGAGAAACCTCTTTTGTCAGTAAGTGTTAGAGTATTTGGTGTGAAAACTTGGTTATCTTTAATCTTTTATTTTTTTATATAAAATTAGAAGAATGAACTACACTGTAATGTAAATTTTGTTTGTTTTGCAGTTAAGAACATGACACCATTTTTGTCATTTTAGCATTTTATTGTTCCATTTCTCTGACCATTATGTTATTTATGAGACATTTTAAGGGCCAGTAAAACATGAGCCATTTTACCTAAAATCGTTTTATTCTATAGAAAAATTATGAACAGTTAATATCTTACCTGCTGTAGACATTTTTTTAGAATTAGAAATGTTATTAGCTACAGACAGCTTTTTGTGTCTTCCAGGTTCACTTATTGTCCAAATTCCCACATTGATCCAAATTGTTTAAAAGCCTCAACTTCCCAAGATAACAGACCTTGGTCTCCTTTATAATTTATCACAAGAAATTGTACATTATTATTGTTTTTCTTTTGTTTGTTTGTTTTGTTTCACATTTGCTGTATACTCTACATCTCTTTGAGAGAACAACTCTAACCAACTCAAACTTAGCTTTCAGGTACCCAGAATGCAGTGTGCTCTAACATGTCCCAAGCCAAATAATTTCAGTCTGAGATTATTTTGAGGTGACAAACATGAGAGAATCTAATGACCATTTAGTCAGAGGAGACTTAACCTTTATGTGACAAGGGGCAAAAATCCTGCTTGGATATTGCTGCATGGAGTCTGAAAGTTCCCTCCAAATAATTATCCTTCAGGTATTGCAACGAAGGACGGCACAGCAGAGCAGGACAAGGACTTCCGTGGTAAAGCTCAGAAGCAGGTCCAGTTCAACCCGGGCCAGACGACAGCAACCTGGAAGGTGAAGATCTTCACAGATCAGGAGTTTGAAATCTCAGAGACCTTTGAGATTCAGCTTTCAGACCCTGTTATGGCAGCGCTGGAGTATCCCGATACAGCGACAGTGGAGATTGTGGACCCTGGAGATGGTAGGATTTTGGTATTTTGGGGACATTGGGAGAAATTTGTACATTTATGTGGCTGATTTAATGTGTTTTTGAATTGATACGGGAATCACTAACTTTGTTGTTGGGCTGATTTTTCCAAACAGAATCAATGGTCTTCATTCCACAAGCTGAATTTAGGATAGAGGAGGACATCGGAGAGTTGTTAGTGCCTGTCAGGCGTTCAGGAGATGCCAGCCAGGATCTTATGGTAGTTTGTTACACTCAGCAAGGTGGGAATGCATCTTTTTGTAAATATTCCAAAACAAAAAAGTAAACTTCATTGCGTGCATCACCGTGTTACTTTGCTGCTTTTATATGTTTTACATGTTTTGCTGAAAACAAACGAAAAAACATAACAGAGCTTCCGAGACAAAACTTCATTTTTATCCTGCCCCAGGCACTGCCACCGGCACCGTCCCCTCCACAGTCCTGTCTTACTCCGACTACATCACAAGGCCTGAGGACCACACCACCGTGCTACACTTTGATAAGGATGAACGAGAAAAGATCTGCCGCATCATCATCATTGACGATTCCCTGTATGAGGAAGAGGAGAGCTTTAATGTCAGCCTCAGTATGCCCATGGGTGGGCAGGTGGGAGCCCACTTCCCGTCCTCCAAAGTGACTATTTTGGCAGACAGTGATGACGGTAAGTGGTAATACTTTTGTTTTCTTTACCTCATTTTAGCAGGCTTTAAGAGTGCATCCTGAATCAAAGATGGTGGAATGAAAATAAAGTGTAGAATTATACAAATATATTTTTATATCAAAGGAGCACACATGGACCAGGAATACTTACTAATGCTGTATGCAGTGCCATATATTACATATCCGAACTTTGTACTTGATTGTCTCCTGAAAGGATAAGACTTTTTTGTAATGTGTTTTTTTTTTAATTGTCTGGAGTTTTTTATGTGATATGGACCACGACTCTGCAAATAAAGTATAAAATCATCATATACTGTCTGGGACAAAGAGTCAAGTCAACTTTTTTTTTTAATTTTAGGTTTTTATGTATCGGATCATAAAAATTATGTGGTCCTTCAGGCTCTAAAATTATTAAAATCTAATTTCAAATGTACAAAATTATTTTTCTGTATCGTTGTTTACTAACACCACATGCCAACTCTAAAGCACGGTGGTGGACAGGAATGATTTGGGCTTGTTTTCCAGTCTCAGGACATAAAGGGCACCTTGCAATCACCATGAACTCCTCTGTAAATCAAAGTGTTCCACAGCCAAATTTATCTTGAATGGCATTTGAAAATAATATTATAATTTAGATTTTAAAATAATGATTGAAAAACATATTTGTTTTCATGATAACGATTTCAAATATATTATTAGTTATTTTTTTATCTTACCTCCAGCTTTCCGAGGACCCCCTAGTGGCCCCCACTTTTATTGATGTAAGAGATTGATAATGCTGTTTAGCCATAGCTGCTAAAGGTGGTACAATTTGCTGACTCATGAGATTTTCTTTTTCACACACAAGCTTTCCATTTTGGCTTGGTTTTTCCATGACATGGTGGAATCCTCAGCTTGTTTTTGTACATTAAAGGTTACAGAACATGGTAAAAAACAGATCTTTTTTTCAAAACTCTGATATGTAAAACCATTGCCATCAAAGAAGGTGAATGCTCTATTGTCCTAGACTGTAAAAAAAAAGAAAGAATTGAATTTTGTGCTGTGATTACACAGCTGCAGGAGGTGGCAGGTGCAGGTGAGCCTTTTGAACAACATCCCTTCCATGCTCGACTTTTCGATGTTGGTATTTGAGCACCATTAATCCAGCCAAAGTGCAGTGACAGCACCACCTTCAAAGGATAAGTCTGTGAGCTTTACTGTATTTTTCTGCTTGTTATCTTTCCCATGCACGAGTCCGACAGCTCTGCCTGCTTCATCTGTCTGTCTGTGTTGGATATAATAGAACAATAGGCAGGTATTCAACAGGAGAACAGCAGACTTAGTGGATTCTGGATGACAAATAAAAAGGTCTTTAATTTAGAATGTGCTCCCTGAGTTAACCTCCCCCTATCTGCAGTGGTATTTAGAGGGAGCAGGGGCCATCCTTTTGTCCACAGAAACCAAAAGGCAGGTGGTGGAGTAAGAGGGACTATTGTCCGACTGGCATGTTTTTTTTTCTTCATCCCATCTGCTCGACGGCTTTCAGGACCTTTGCCTAAGTTTCTTTTCAGGATTTCAGATGCCTGCGACACTCATTTCCAAACTTACTCTATCCTCACATGTTGCCTCCATCCCGCACATTTATCCACAAATAATTTATAGCATCAGCTTAGAGCTTAGTTGAACTTTTTGTATACATTTAATCAGAGGTGTCCTCTCTTGTCCACTCAGATTAAACTGCTATTGTTGTTCCTACTTCTTGGTGGGTCCTGAAATAACACTACACAGTAAATCTGGTTCAGTGTTGGCCTGTGTGTGTCTGACTTTCTGAGTAAACGTGGGGTTTGGGAAAATGCCAGTGTCAGGCCTCCGTTGTAACTGTATTTGTGTGACTCTTCCTCTCACTAACCTGAAAGCTGGCCTCATGCTGCCTTTATTTCCCCTCCTCAGAACTGAACATGGGCAGAGTGGTGCTGAAAGTGGGCCAGAGTTTTACACAAGTTTATCTGGATTTTTGCAAAAACAAAGCTCGATGGAGTTTGGAAAACCTGAAGCAAAATAAAAAGCAATAACATTTGTTCAAATTTGGACTAGAGAAATTTGGTGTTTCAGATAAGAATCCACTTTTAAAAATGTTTTTTATTGTATTGCCAATATGCATCATTTTTCAAGAAACACTGGGATTTTTCACAACACAGAAATGCTGAAAATCTTCATTTTCAGGATATTTACAAAAAAATTTCCTTTTTTTTGTAAACATTTGTTGAAAACTTGCAGGCCTTAGACATTTATCAGATGATCTCGGGGGCACTAGTTGGACACAGTGCAATGAAACAGATTTTTGTACAGAAGCGATGAGAGATAAGTTATGTCGCAGGGCCCCTGAATTCTTCTTGCCTTCCATCGGTTGTCTCTGTCTCTGCCTCCACCCCCATGCTCTCTGACCACCCTGCCCCTTATCAGCCTCTCTGTCATCAGAAACCTGGAACATCCCTCACACTTATGCCTCTTTCAGCGTGCATGTACAAGCGCACACCTCATTTTTCAGGTGCATCCTCGACCCCTTTGGCGTGGAGTTCAGACGGAGCTGTCTGGGCTCAGATAAAAGGAGGTGGAGGATGGAGGGAAGACAGGATGGAATGGATGACTGATCTCTTCCTGTACCAAGACAGAAAACAAAAAAATATGGATGCATGAGCTCAGCTTTGCCAATATATCCCACATAAAACACTTGTGTCTTCAGAAAACAAAACCACAGTTCTTTTGTGGAAAATTTCTTGTCAAACTTAAGAGTAAAACATTGTTTAATCTTTATCCAACCTATTCTCCGATCTTTCAGAGCCTTCACTGTACTTCGGAGAACCTGAGTATGTTGTAGAGGAGAGTTCAGGCTACGTTGAGGTTAAGGTCTGGAGGACAGGGACCGACTTGTCCAAAACAGCAACGGTCACCGTCCGCTCCAGGAAGAGCGATCCTGTTTCAGCAGAAGGTAAAAAATAAATAAATAAATAACATTCTGTTTCTTTGTTTTGTATTAAAGTATAGTTTTACTTTGTGGTTTCCTCTTTCTATTTGCCAGCTGGACTTGACTACGTGGGTATCAGCCGCAACCTGGACTTTGCTCCAGGAGTGACGATGCAGACATTCAGGGTGACCATCTTGGATGACTTGGGTCAGCCAAAGCTAGAGGGTCCAGAGACATTTGACCTTGTGCTGAGGATGCCCATGAATGCTGTGTTAGGGGAACCGAGCATGGCAACCATCACCATCAATGACACCATCACTGATTGTGAGTGTTCAGCGTTATTAAATTTTATTATGCTGTGAACAAACCAACAAACATATTTTTGTAAATGTTGTAGCAATGAGCTCGTACTGACTGGAGATAGTTTGTAGTGTTTTATTAAGTCTTAGCAAATATATGTATATAATTTTGAAAAAAAAAAACTGGAGAAACTCTATAAAAATATTAAAATGTTTGTATCTAGAAATGGTTCTAAGACATTTTAGGCATTTCCAGTTGTTGACAGATACATAATTAATTATTGTTATAACTTGAACAGCCACTTAATACATGGACGTGTAACAAATTATATTCCTATTTTCTCAAATTCCAACTCACAAAATGAAAAATAAGTAAATAAAAATGAAGCAAACAATTACTCACATGGCAAGTCAAAGTTAAAAACAAAGATCTTGCAAGATTTATTAGTGCTCACAATATATGATGCAAATGACTTTCAGCTATAACCACATCAAATATCTGTAAAATGAACTGTTATAGACATTTTTTATGCATTTGCTAAGGCTGATTAGCTGCGGCAGCCTTCTTGAATTAGATTGACTTAAAAAGTTATCAGTTGTAGACATACATCCAAAACGTTACTTTCTGGGAGTTTCATTAAATTCAAGTAAAGAGGTAAATTTTAAAATAAAAAATATGAAAACTTTCCCATAACTTAATGATTTTTTTTGCTTGTTTGTTTGAAGTGCCGAAGGTTCAGTTTAAGGATGGAAACTACAAGGTGGATGAGTCGGATGGATCTGTGAGCGCCACCGTGTATCGCAGCGGAGACATCAGCCTCGTATCCACAGTCCGCTGTTACACCCGCCAAGGATCTGCTCAGGTCATGATGGACTACGTCGAGAGGCCAAACACTAACGCGTCAATCATCACTTTCCTGCCAGGTGAGACATCTTTTACCCTCCTCCATCTCTCTTTTTGTCTGTTTTGTCTAACCCCCCCGCCGTTGAACTCCCCAGGTGAGTCTGAGAAACAGTGTGTGGTCAGCCTGACGGACGACGCGATCCACGAGGAGGATGAGGAGTTTCGCTTGGTGCTGGGAAGTCCCCAGAGCAAGTCTCGATATGGAGCCTCTATCGGGGAGCAGAAGGAAGTGCTGGTCACCATCACAGATGAGAAAGATAGTACGTGTTCTCTGAAATCAAACATGATTTCAGTGCATGGATCAGAAATTCTAATACTCTGATTGAGATTTATCCAGCAGAAAGCGAATTCATTACTCCACTCTGTTCCCTGTTTCAGAGCCCATCATCCGATTTTCAGAGATCAAGTATAGCGTGCGTGAACCGCAGGTTAAAGGTGATGTGACAACGGTGAAGATTCCCATTCTACGTTTTGGAGACACCTCCAAGGTCTCAGTAGTGAGAGTACACACAAAGGATGGTTCTGCAACCTCCGGAGATGACTATAACCCACTGTCAGAGGGTAAGAAAATCTATGTTTATTTTTTAAACACTTTTTGCATCACTGCTCACTTCCCTGTCTGTGTTTAAGATGTGGAGTTCAAAGAGAACGATAAGGAACATTTTGTTGAAATCGAGATCCTGTATGACGGTCAGAGAGAGATGAGAGAGGCCTTCACTGTACACATGAAACCTGATGACAACATGGTGGCCGAACTACAGGTGAGTAAAAGCCACATGGCATTAAAAAACACACACATACACACTCATAAGCAAAACAGAAGCCAGCAGTCATTCCAAGCAGAACTGCGCGGGTTAACATGCGTCTTGTCGTGTCAGCCTGGGTTAAAGTAAGCAAGCGGCCAGCAGCTGGCCATGCTGTCAGCACACCCGAACCACAGGTCCTTTAAAAAGATTTTCCCTCTGGAATGAGATGCTGAGGGGAATATCCCTGCAGAGCCAAACTGAAGACAAATCTATAAACAGAACTGTGACATTCTACCCATACTCTCTACATCAGCTGCATGCCATTCACGGCACAGAAATAGGTCAGCTTGCACTAAATTGTTTTGTGCTTCATTACATTGTAATGAAACTGTGACTCCCTGAGAGACCTCTGCACTCTGTGTCAAACATATACATAATTATATTTAGAGGTTTATGAATTAATAAAACAAATGTTGTTTTGAATAACACAATGAGAAATCCAGATTTAAGTTGTTTGTAGGCAACCCTATGTATTTATTGTAGGATTTATTGGGGTAAACATTAGTTTACACCAAAGCTTAGTAGACAAATGTGCAGATTATTACATATAGAGAAGTTGACTGGTGAATGCAAACAGGTGTGCTGATTAAAAACATGGAGAAAAATGGGTAACCAGAGTGGGGCAACTGAGGACATGTAGAGGTTATGGCAAATAAGAATATAAAAACAATGACACTAGCCCAAAACAAAGATTCCCGCCATTGTACATATTGGCTAATAAAGTTGTAGTTTTCTGAAGATAATGGGGTCTTAGTAAAAACTAAATACGACAAATTGATTTGATCAACAACAGTGACTCATCTGAACACGATTCCCATTCTCAACTAATTGGTGAAGCTAACACTTTACATGAGCAAGTGCAGCTGATGATGTCTTTCTTTTTTCCAGATGAACAAGGCCATTGTGTACATTGAGGAGATGGACAGTGTAGCAGATGTTACCTTCCCTGCAGTCCCTCAGGTGGTGTCCCTGCTCATGTATGATGACACATCTAGAACCAGAGACAGGCCGTACCCGCCCAATGGATACCCTGTGGTTTGTGTGACGGTGGGTACGATGCTGCTTTCCTGAAAAGCTTACTAAAAGTTCGTTGGTAAACAAGTGGAATTTTACTACCTTCCATGTGCTTTTGTGTGCCTGTTTTTCTAGGCCTGCAACCCAAAGTACCATGATTTCGACAAAACAGGATCCATCTGCTCTGCTGAGAGCATCAACAATACTCTGACCCAGTATCGCTGGCTGGTGAGCGCTCCCACTGGGTCAGATGGAGTGACTAGTCCCATGAGGGAGGTAGACACTAACACTTTCTTCACCAACACCAAGTCAGTCACCTTGGATTCAATTTACTTCCAAGCCGGTTCCAGGGTTCAGTGTGCAGCAAGAGCTTTCAACGCCAATGGAGATGCTGGCCTGGAGCTGTCCAGTCCCATTGTTGTGATTAGCAATGAAGAAGGTGAGCAGAGAAAGAGAAAAACTTGTGGAACTTGGGATCATTCATGCCTCTATTAATTCAATTTGATTTGACTTTCTCCTATTTATAGGTATGTGTCAGCCACGACTCCCAGGAACTGTTGGGGCTGAACCTTTCTCTGCTAAGATCCGCTACACAGGCTCAGATGATCCAGACTTCCCTAACCTCATCAAACTGACCATCACTATGCCTCACATGGATGGTAAAATCTCAAACTTGATTGCAGTTTTTCATCTATGGTGATTATTGTTCACATACCAGCTAAAGACTAAAAATCTTACAATCTCCTCACAACCAGGAATGCTACCAGTGATCTCCACAAAACCGCTATCCAACTTTGAGCTCACTCTGAGCCCGGATGGCACACGTGTGGGTAACCACCGCTGCTCCAACCTACTGGATTTCAATGAAATCCAAACTGGCTATGGCTTTATCACAGACGCAACAAAGAACCCTGAAATCATTGGGGAGACTTCGCCATACCAGTACAGCACTGCTATGCGTTCAGCCAATTCTCTGCGCTTCTATAGGAACCTCAACTTGGAGGCCTGCCTCTGGGAGTTCACCAGCTACTACGACATGTCAGAGCTGTTAAATGACTGTGGAGGTTCCATAGGCACTGATGGACAGGTAGACATGTGTCACTGCAAACACAGCATCAAATAAGACTGAGCTCTGAAATCCCTTTAACACATTAATTATTGCATTTTCCAACTTTATCTTTGATTTTGTGTTTTCCCACTTATAGGTGCTGAATCTTGTCCAATCATATGTCACCCTGCGTGTACCTTTATTTGTGTCCTACGTCTTTCACTCTCCTGTGGCTGTCGGGGGCTGGCAGCACTTTGATCTGCAGTCAGAGTTGAAACTCACCTTTGTATATGATACAGCAATTCTGTGGCAGGATGGTATCGGCAGCCCACCTGAAGCTGAACTACAAGGTACTACCATCTCACTGTTCTCTGCTAGGTTTTTTTTCAGCTTTTTCCCCAATTTGAAATCATACATCTGAAGAGGATAAAATGTTTTTGTCATTTGTTTTCACAGGAGCCATGTACCCCACCAGCATGCGCATAAATGAGGAGGGTCGCCTTGTAGTTTACTTCAAGACGGAGGCTCGTTTCAGAGGACAGTTTGTTATGTCTCATCCAGGTATGAGAGCGACGCCCACATGCACAACATTCAAGCCCCAAACCAATCCTGTTGGGTTAATTTTATACAAGCAGCAGCATATTGGGTTACTGTGGCCAGCATGCCCTGTCTTCATCTATTTCTGGAGTTCCGCTTTAGGGTTCTTCCTGTGCGAGTGTGCCAAATGTCATTTAAGTAAATGTTAAAATGACCCTGCAGCATTTACAGTTAGGCAGCAAGAGACCAAAACAACGTGAGACACTTCAAGAAATACGCACATGGTTGCTAGTTTAGATGACATACAATGCAGCTGTAAGGAATAATGCCTGCCTGCTCACCTTTAGGAACCAGTGTGTCGTCCATGGTGATATGTGCTGACCATCCTGGGCTGACCTTTACTCTGGCCTTGGTCAGGACAGAGCCGACCTACAACCAGCCCATGCAGCAGTGGAGTTTTGTCTCCGATTTCGCAGTAAGTCATAATGAGATGATCCATTATGCCACATTAAGTTAATATTTTAGTAATTCACCAATGTTCCTGTTTGCTTCCAAGGTGCGAGATTACTCTGGAACCTACACTGTGAAGTTGGTTCCCTGCATTGCTTCACCCAACGGAGAGTTTAGTATCCCTCCTGTGTGCCACCCAAGAGAGCCGCTTACTTTTGATGTAGACATTCGCTTCCAGCAGGTTGGGCTCGATAACCTGGCAGGAATCCTTTGGTCATGCTTTTACTAAATACCAGAACCTGAATTTATTGAATGTGTAACCCATTGTCTCCAGGTGAGTGACCCAGTGGCAGCTGAATTCAGTCTAAATACTCAAATGTTCCTCCTGTCCAAGAAAGAGCTTTGGTTGTCTGACGGCTCAATGAGTTTTGGAGAAGGAACTGATGCTGCTTTTTCAGAAGGTAGTACACCACTGCCATCTATTGGTTTGATGTAAAATTACAGCTTGGGCTCTGCCTTTGAGACAGATGAAATTTGTTCATCGCTACAGGCTCCATCATTTATGGCCGTGTGATGGTAGACCCTGTCCAGAACTTGGGCGACTCCTTCTCCTGCAGCATTGAGAAGGTGTTCCTCTGCACCGGAGCCGATGGATACGTCCCCAAATACAACCCCACCAACAAGGAGTATGGCTGCTTGGCAGATGCTCCCTCTCTGCTTTACAGATTCAAGATTCTGGTAACTTGAAATAAATGATTTTTTCTTTTAAATTGAGGCTGCAGTAATTCTAATTCAAGTGTGTGTTGTTCTGCAGGACAAAGCCCAGCCAGAGACTCAAGCTCCAGCATTTGGGGACGTGTCTTTTAAGGCCAAACTGGCACAAGACACCCCTGGAGCACAGCCTTTGGTCAGACAGCCAGGCTCAGATGGCTTCATGCTTTCCTCTTCACCACTTTTTCAGGTCAGTAACTCTTCAAGGCATTGCATCTACTGAAATAGGGTAGGAATATGAACATGTTGGCCTTCTTTTTCAGGTGGCTGCTGGCAGAGAATGGTTCATCCACACCATTTATACCGTCCGCTCCAGAGAAAACGCCAATCGTAACATCGGCAAGCGGAGTGTCGAGTACCTCCAACATGGTTTCTCCTCCGCCTCAGAAGTAGTCAATCGCCACCGCCGTGCCGCCCCGTTGTTCTCCAGTCCGCCCCTGGCCCAGGACATCGGTGTCAAAAACAACCGAGGCACCAACATCCAGCACATCGCTCTGGACCGGTCAGACCGCATGGTGGTCAACCAGAGGCAACCCTGGTCTTTGAGCCATGACCACCTTTTGGAGCGCCCCCTTCTGGAGAGTTCAAGCAGAGAGCCGGCTGATACCTTCTATCTACCCATGCTGGTGGGCGTTGCAGGTCTGATCTTGCTCATCTGCGTCATCGCAACCGTTGTTATTCTTCTGCTGCGGCGCAAGAGGAGGGAAAAGAAAAGTCAGTTCCCTCCATACGCCACTTCCTCCTCATCTGCCTACAGCCACGGTTTGGTTGGTATGTGGAGCAGTTCGGACAGCTCTGAAGTCTAAAGGTGGATCGTGCTTCCCCTCAAAACATGTCCCTTATTTAAAAAATATATAATTACCAGTCTCCTTCACCACTGTGCCTTTGAAATTTAGCACTGAAAACATCCCTGTGCAACTTGTGGACAGAACATCAGTGCTCAGGGGCCTACATGCAGAGAATGTACCAGTTATGAGGCCTATTAATATCTGATCCTTAATTTTTCTGCAATAATGTACTGTAAGCTTGTACCTTCAACAGCTGATTCAGAATTACAGTGTTCCGAGTGTTCAGTTGTAAAAAAAAATGCATTTTCACTTGGCATTTGCAAATGCATGCTAGTAAACTAAATGCAGCGGATTCATGAGTGAAAGAAAGGTAACTTTTAGTTTCATATTTTTAAAATATCAAGTTTTATATCACTGTAATTCATTGTTTTGTTTCGTGGAGTCAGATAGAACTGACCTGAATGAATGACGATGTGATCATTTTTTTCCGTTGTGCTTTTAAAAGCTTGCTCACCACTGACAACTATCACTTTAGAGTGACTGGAAGGGATTGTAAATGTTATTTTAGTCTTCTGAGAATGCAGTGTTTTGTAGGTTCGTGAGATAAATGTGGCTGAAATATGTTTCGACTTTATCTGTGTAGATATTAAAAGAGGACAGTGACAAAAACAAAAATGGTATTTCACCCTGATGAAACTTGAAAACAGTAAGTCTGATTTGCTCATCAGGTCTTGGCAAAACATGTTTGTGACAATTTCAAAGGTTTGGATGCAACTATACTTTAAACTGCTAAATATAAATGTTTTTAAATGAGTCTTTTTTGACCAGACAGGTTTTTTTTATATATAAAAAAGGAAAGATTTATTTGTGATGATCAAAGGGACATTTTGTACTTCACAAAAAGATGAAAGAACAATTCTTTTTCTTAAAAATAAAGTTGGTACTTATTGTTACATGGAATGCAGTGCAACCAGCAGGCATAAATACATTTTAGATAACTACTAGTAAAGAAACAAAAAACATACTAAACTAAGCCAGCACAGCTGCAGTGTTTAGGTGAGTGACAACAAGGCGGGCTCATTAAGGAGCACTTTCCTAAAACCTAATACAACCAGATCAGTCCGTCAAGGATTTTTACACAGTACATTATCACATCCTGCAAAACAAACACAGATACTAGGACTAATGACACCGGAGCTGGCTGCCGGGGTCAAACGCTGAACCTGTAGTTTGTGCGCAGCTTCACAATTTCAGCTTCTTCCTGCGTCCTCGACCATCCAGGGTTCCCTCTGGTTTACGTTTCTGCGCCTGCGATAAGAGCAGAAAATGGTCAGGAATACCAAACACAGAAAAATGTCAAACATTTTTGCTTTTAAGAAAGATGTGCCCTGTGTGTAAGTTAAACCTGATTTGTACTGAATGTCAGATATTACACCAGCACTAAATTAAACCAATGCTGTTATCTACACAGTCTGCTTTGCATCTTTTTAATGTGAGACTGAATTCTGACTTACTGAGGCAGATTTTGGTCCCCGCTTCTTCTTCTCAGCCTTTTCTCTTTCCTCCAGCTCCATGTTCTCTCTCTCTATCAGTGTGATCAGAGTGTTGCATCGCCTCTGCAGCTCCTGTACACCCAAAGGAGATTATCATCATTATTATTATTATTACTATTAATAATAAACAGAATAACGTTCACAAAGAGAGGAGAAATGGTGCAAAAATGACAATGTACCATGGCAGTCCTGGACTTGAGGAACCAGTCAAAGCGGAACTGAGGGGAGTTGCGGATGCACTGACGGAGCTCGTCGTACACGCTCTCCTTGTCGAAGCCCAGCTTGTGAAGCATACAGATGAGGAAACGGTCCTCTTCCTCCGTGTAGTTCTTGCCTTTGTTGGTGCCATAAGAGATCCGGAGCTGATGGAAGGGAGCTTTGTAGCGACCGATCTGTAATTAAAGCGGGGTAAAAAAAAGAAAAAAGAACCATTGAATTAATGCACTAACACAAAACTGTGATAAAAAGCTAAGAAGTCAAATTGCTGTCAGTTTGCTACCTTTGAGTCCAGCGCCTTCTTGATGCTGATTCTTCTCTGAATCCTGGCTTCTCCTCTTTCTATCTGGGCCATGATTTTTTCGATATCCTGCAACTCATTGCAGCGCTCCCAGAATACGGCTAAAAAAATAAACAGAAACAATAAACATATAACATTAGTGTAGCTTGAAATAAACTCTTTTTTTGTTTTTGACAGAAAAAAATGGAATTGCATATTTTGATTACCAGAATATTCCATGACTTCTTCGGGTGTTTTCCCCTCAACTTCTCTGGCAATGTTCTCGATATCATCTCTTCCCCATTTCTCATTGGCTTTAATGAACTGGTTGAAGTCACGTTTGCTCCAAATAGTAAAGCCCTGCAAAAGAATATTAATAAATAAGCTTTCCAGCACATAAAATATTATAATACATTTGCCACTTTATGTGATAATCATCTGTACCTGTTGCAGAAGGTTCTCCTTCTCCTCTAGCTCCTCCTCTGAGAGCGCTTCGGCCTCATCGATCTTGGCTTGCTCCTCCTTCTGGACCTGAGCTGAGTTGGGGATTTCTGGGTTACGAGGAACCTGAGCAGACGCAACCGACAGATCAGCTTGGACACAGCTTGAATGAAGTAATGATCTTAAATGAAGTGTTTTATGTACCTTGTATCCTATCGTCTTTCTGTAGTACAGAATTTCCTTTTCCAGGAGCTCGAAAAGACGTGGAGGGAAGAACTGGAAGTCTTGGACATTTGGCTGCTTGGGCGGACGAGGCGCCTGTCAAAGACACAGTGGTTATAATATCTGCTGCATTAATGTGTTGTGCGTGTGGAGTGTTAAGCGTAAACCGACTCACCTTGGGGGCTTTAGGCTCACTGACTCGCAGAGCTTCTCTGAAATAAGCATCCACAGCATAATTGGCTTTTCTTTCTCTCTTAGGAGGCTCGATCCAGTTGGTGATGACCTGAGGGGAAAGGAAAACAACCATAAAAATCGAATAGTTTCGGGGAAATTTGCCAGCAACAGAGCCAACAGTTATTGTGGGGCACTTTCACCTTCTTCTTCTCCCTGTAGTCCTCTCCTTCAAACGTGTACACACTGGTGTTCTCCGTGTCCATGGTGAAGTTTCTCAGGGAGCTCTCGCCCAGAGACGACAGCTTTTCCTTCATTTCCATAGTCTAACACAAAACAACCAGAACATTTTAAATTTTACATAGAAAAGACATTAAGAAACGGCTTTTATCTTCTAAATAAGGGACTCGTACCTTCCTCTCGCCGCGCTCCAGAATTGCATCGATGTCATCGTCTGTGATCTCGCTCTCTTTGGAAGCAAACACATGCGTGGCGCCGTGACGGATGATGGACAGCATCTCATCTTTGCCAAGTTTGTTTGCACTTGGATCCACAAGTCTTCCTGTAAAACACAAAAGAAAAAAAAAAAAAGAATGATTAAATCTTTTCACTTAGCTTTTTTTTCCCTTTCAAACAAACAACAATCTTTTTATTTTACCGCTTTGTGAATTGCAGCTGTAAATACTTAACAGTAACGAAACTTTCTACTGATGTAGAAAGTAGAAAGTGTAGTAAGATGTTAAACATCATTCTAGCCATCCCAATTTAAATTTAAAGACAGTTTAAATTATCGTTGACAAAAAAAGGACCTTGCTGGATGACAATAGAGTCCAGGCGTAGTTTCATCTCGGCCCTCTCCACAATCCTCTCCTCCACCGTGTTTTCAGTGATGAAACGGAAAACACGCACCTGCTTCTGCTGACCAATCCTGTGAGCTCGGTCCTGTAATGAAAACAAGAAAACATTTTGATTTTATTTTTTTTACCTGTACTTACTTCATCCCTTCCTAATGACAGAGTGCTGTTTGAGAGAGCGCTCACCATGGCCTGCAGGTCGACCTGAGGGTTCCAGTCGGAGTCGTAGAGGATGACGACGTCAGCTGTGGCCAGGTTAATACCCAAACCACCAGCTCTGGTGCTCAACATGAAGATGAACTTAGAGCTGTTCGGTTCGTTGTATGCGTTGATGGAAATCTGGTGTGGGACAAAATAAAAAGGAACAATTTATATGAAGTTTGTTATTTTAATAAAATACCAAAGCGTTTGCAATTAAGAAACAGGATTTTCACAGAAAATGCTGTGTGAACGCTAAGTGCTAAATGACAGCTGAAATTTGTTAAAGAATGGATTCCTAAAATAAATAAACAAATAAATTAATTAATTAGAGAAAATCACCAAAACCTAAACCTAAATGATGGACAACCGTATTTGTTGGCCAACAATGACAGAACAAAGTCAGTCGACCATTTCTAGTAAAGAAGAAAAGTTGCAAAATCAAGTACTTCATGACTGTGAATAGCTAAATTGCTCATAAAAAAATCTTCAGAAAAAATGGGATGAAAAAAATTTCAGAGAACAAATTTTTTTGAAGGAACTGAAAAAATCTCTATGTAGTTCAATGGGATTTTTTTTGTAAATAAAGGAAAATACGGCAACTCACAAAGAATAAAAGGTTACAAACCCTGCTTTGTCCAAGTTGAGCTCACCTGTCTCTCTTCGTGTGGCGTCTGACCGTCCAGGCGACAGTACTCGTAGTTCTTCCACATGCAGTAGTCCTCCAAGATGTCCAGCACCCTGGTCATCTGACTGAAGATGAGCACACGAGACCCTAAAAAATAAAACATACCTTGAATACCTGTGGATGCATCTGAAGTATTGAGCAATGCAAATAATCCTGGTTAATCTAATCTTTTTCAAATAAGAAATGAAATAAAAGCAACATTACGTTATTACAATGACACTACGGTATAAGTATTTACAGGCTTCATACCCTGTGCCTTCATCTTAGGCAGTAGCTTGTCCAGCACCGCCATCTTCCCACTGTTCACCACCAGGTGCAGGTCGGTGGTGTAAGGGGGGCCTGGCTCGGCCCCGTCAAACAGGTACGGGTGGTTGCAGCATTTCCTGAGCTGCATGAGAACGTTTAGCAGACGCATCTTGTCCATTTTCCCCGCAGAGTTCAGAATGTCGATGTCCTTCATGAGAATCTTTGTGTACCTGAAGGGTTTCGAGAGATTTTTTTTATTCCAAACCAAGTTATCTGAAGCTGTTTGTCACACACACACACACACACAAAAAAGCTTAGAGTTAATTTAGTTTAACAGTGTCTTCATAATCATTCCCCAGCCTGTGAATAAACTCAACTAAAGGTCAAAAAGTTAAGTAAAGATGCTCACCACTCTCGCTGCATCTTACTCAGACCCACATATATCTTGATCTCTTTCTTGGGCAACAAAGTCTTCTCCACATCTGCTTTGATACGACGGAGCAGGAAGGGGCGCAACACCTACGCAACAACAACAAGACGGTTTTTGAACAAGACTGAAAAAAAATTTATATATATATTTTTATGCGACATTAAAGACCCTCCAGAACGTACAGTGTGGAGACGTTCAACCAACTTCTGATCACCTAAGCAGTTGTTTGTGTCAAACCACGAGTCGAAATCCTGTAGAACAAACAGAAATGAATTAAACATGGAACAGATTGCTTATAGCAGTAGAATTTGAGGAGGGATAAAACACCACACCTCTGCTGAATTGAAGACATCAGGGAGCAGGAAGTTGAGCAGAGCCCAAAGCTCGTGCAGGTTGTTCTGAAGGGGCGTTCCGGTCAAAAGCAGACGATTGGTGGTTTTAAACTCGCGCACAATTTCTGAAAGCTACCCCAAAGCAAAGACATTATTTTTTTTAGGTCGTTACGTAATGTTGCATGTAAAAGTTTAAAACAAAAGAGTGTTTTATCTCTGCAGCAGCCTGACCTTTGACTTCTCATTCTTGATCCTGTGAGCTTCATCGATGACCAGGTACCTCCAGTTGAACTTCTTGAAGACGGCTTTTTCGATGATGAGCATTTCGTAGGATGTGACGCAGACGTCCCACTCTCCTGGCAGCAAGACGTCTCTGATCAGGGCGGTCTGGAAAATTGCAGCAAAGAAAAAAAGAATAGTGAATGAATTTGTGACCTGTGTTGGCAAAATGAGTCAGAAAAAACATAATTGACATAATTAAAATTTAAGTAAAAACAAGTGCATAAAGACACAGATTTTCCAAGTCTGCACACACACCTGCCTGCTTGGAAAATGTGGGAGACAGACAAATGAGAGAGTATGTCATTAAAAAGACTGCTGTACCATCCATTAACCTTGTACCACAACCCCCTCCGCCCGACCAGCCCTAGACAATTTTCTGGGGAAAACCCTGAAATGTTCAGTGTTTCTTTGAATCCAAAATTTCTAACAGGTATGTCTTTAGAAATAATATTTTTAATTATCTTTTAAATTCATTATATTGATGCCAGCTGCCACAGCACCAGGAAATCTTTTTATTAATGTTTGGCATCACTGTGAAGCTTAGGCATTTCTTCTTTTAAATATAAGAATTACATTTTCATATGACATCACTCTAGACCAATAAAAATAAAGTTTTCAAACCAGCATTCTTTTAAACAAAACTAGCTTGTTGTCAGGCCAAGAGATTAAACACAAAATTGAAACAAACATTGTATCATTTTGAAGCCTATGAGACAGAGAATTTGAAAGTAATAATAATTCAATGTAGAAAAATTCCTCATTGCGACTTGTTTTGCCAGCATAGGTCATATTTATAAACAGGAACAGCTTCCATGCATACAGCAACATGGGTCAAATTTGTCCACAAACAAAACTTTTGCTAGCAAACTTTAGCCTACCCTCTGATCTCTGTCTCCAATCAGACAAACTGCACGTAGAGAGGGCACCCATCGCTTGAACTCGTTCATCCAGTTGTAGAGGGTGGACTTGGGGACCAGCACCATGTGTGGGCCAGGGATGTTTCTGTAGTGTTTCATGTAACCCAGCAGGGCAATGGTCTGAAGGGTCTTTCCCAGTCCCTGAGAACAAGTTGACATAGTGTGTTGAGAGGCAGAGATTTACACAGAAACAGCACAAAACTGAAACACACTCACACGTCCTTAAAACAGGTGAATATCAGTGATTGTGGAGGTGGGAAAGTACTGACCATCTCATCTGCGAGGATGCCATTGATTCCATTCTCATACAAAGAAATGAGCCAGTTCAGACCACGGACCTGATAGTCCCTCATCTTTCCTGTTTTTACATCTGGAGAAAAGAAGAAAACACAGAACTTCTGGAACGGCTTATTCATTATGTGTATGGTTTAAAATACTGATGCTCAAATCACCCTTTGATTTCATACAAAAACAGGTGATTGCTTACAGGAAGGAGATTCATCAAAGCGAGTGCACACGTTGGTGGTCTTCGTGCTCTCGCTAAGAAGCTCTTCATCCTCCTCCTGTTCTGTGCGACGATGACGGTTGCTGTCAAAGATGAGCAGGATGCAACAATTTAAGATCAAAATAAGAGTAAACTACACAGATTAAAGTTTTTATTTTTTGAAGGGGGGGGGGATACTCACTCTCCAACAGACAACAGGTTTTGTTTCTCATCCTTCTTGATCCGAGGACGACCTGGTTTCATCTTCAGAGGGGAAGTCGGGGTCTTCTGTGCAGCCGGCTGGATGAAGTGGGCGAACAACTCGGTTTGCTTCAGAAGATATTCAAATCTGTTGGTCCGGTCTGTTTGCTGCATTACACAGGAAGTAAGGCGTCAACCCTGATGTAAACAAACTCAAAAGGCAAGCGATATCAGTTAATCCAGTGAACAAATAAAATCTATTTACCACTTTCTCCTCATAACCTGGAGTAGAATCTTTAGTTTTTGATGATGAGGAGGAGGACGCATCTTGACCATCGGCTCCAGTATCCGAGGAGGACTCCTTTCCAGCATCTGAAGAGTCAGACTTTTCCTGAACCAGATGAGACAGAAAACAGAATAGTTGTAATAAGAGCAAATATTTTGATTTTTTTAAATAAAGCAGATAAAAAATATATAAACTAACTAGAAATACAATACAATATCAGTGGAAGGCTAATTACTGATATTTATATAGAAAACCATAATAATTATTATTATTATTATTATTATTATTATTATTATTATTATTATTATTATTATTATAATAATAAAGTTCTTCTATCATTAAATACTATTTAACACCAGGTCTTGATTACTACAGCAGTGATTGCAATGTAACTTTATTTTTCTTTTACATTTATAACAATATTTGTGTTAGATAAGTGGTATTAGGGTTGGGCAATATTGGCAAAAAAATAATCACGATTAATTGTGGTATTTAGCCGATAACGATTAATTTGACGATTAATCCCCCGGAGTCCCTGGACACCCTTATGTCCTAGTCACATGACTAATTAATGGGAAATATTTGCTATTCATAAAAATCTGTTCCAAATTGTGTCAGAATTACAGACTTCAGGCTATACATCAAATTTTAAATTGTGTCGATAAATAAATTACAGAATAAATTACTTTTTTTAAATGTTCATCATATTTGAAGCGAAGAGGAACATCGAGCGGACTCTGCCCGGTGCCATTAATCGCATTAATCGTCAAGTGCCAAAAAAATTATTGATTAATGTTTTTCTGGTGATTAATTGCACCACGATACGATTATGCCCAACCCTATGTGGTATTACAACAATAAATCACTAACCAATAGGGTATTTGATCAACTTAAAATTGAGACTGCATTTGCTGACATTGCAACACCCTTTGGACTTTTGATAAATATTAAGCTGTTTGTTCAGTTTGTTAAAATATGGTATGTTTTTATTATAATGTATACATATACATAGATTGAAGTTTCACCTTAAACTCGTCAAACAAAGCAAAACTCCCCTTGCCTAGTTTCCTAGTTTCACCCAGGTACAAAGCTAAGTCAATCAGGTCATTTTGATGTTCTCCTGTCGCAGTCTCTCTCAGGATCCTCCACCTCTGTGGTGACAGTTGTGGACCTGGAGTCATGGATTCATCCCAGCAAGAGTCATGAGATGTTCATTATTTGTAACCTATATAGCTGAACCCCAAGACTATATGCTATATGTAAGTTATGCACACGTTTACTAGTCCTTGGCTATACTTTTTTGTAAAAAAAAATGCTTCCAGTAAAGTTTTTATAATCATTATTATGTTCATGATGAGACTTTAGTGTTGAGTCTGATGGATGAGCTTTTCTTGCTGAAATGCACGACTTACACAACAGCCACTGCTGTTCTAAAAACAAAGAGGCGGAGAGGACATGAGCGGTGCTCTTTCTCAACAGCTAAAAACTGATCAGTGATCAAAGCCAGCGATCATCCCATTTGTTTTGGGGAGAAGACAGAGAAAGAAAGGGTGTACACTGGCAGCAGTAATGGTCGGTGGATCTAAAGCTAGCCTTGCAGCTAGCTAATCAGTCTTCGCCGTATCGTCAGCTTCGTTCAGTTTCTGCGACAAGGCACAGAACTGCTGTGTTAGCTAATGATAGCACCGCCGTTACTAGCTAACTAGCTCAAGAACCCATTTTAACACGGACCGAGTGAAAGTTTCACACAGCCAAAACCGGGATACCGGAAGGAAGGGAAGGGGAGCGATGATAGTTGTAAACGTCTGCGGCACGTTAAACATACATTTCTTGACAAAGACCCATTAAACCGTCTTACCTCCGGTCCGCCGGCTTCTTCAAGTTCAGTCGGCTCTTCCCGCTGTTCAGCGCAGTTTTCGCTTTCGGACATTGTTGTTCGATTCCTTCCTCTGTTTGGATATATTGATCGTTACTAGGTCCCCAATGTGCTCTCGTTTAAAAGTGGTTAAGGATACTCAGAAGTTCGCCGCAGTAAATTGGAGCGTTGTTTATAATGAAAGACGCACCGGTTCAGCAGCACGTTCGAGCTAGCAAGGTTTTTTTCTCGCGCACCCGGGCTATTGTATCGGCTTCGGCGAGCGCGTTCTATCGCGAGACTTTACTGTGTTGCGTTCGCTGAAGGTTGGAATTGTTGACATCCAGTTTGGTGTGGCACAAACAGTTATTTAGTTGAATTTCAACTTTCTGTTTGTAAATGACAATGATTATTGGTTTTATTCAGTATGAAACAAGTGAAAACAAGTTTAAACAGCAACTTTGCATTTAGAGCACACATCATACAATAATATAAAACAAGAACATTTTACTTATTTTAATATTGTTTACAAAGCATAAGAACACACAAAACAAAAGTTTCGGGGACTATTAAAATAAATCCCTTCAATAAATCGTACAATTTTTCAGCTTTTGCATTATGCATCTTACTCAGACACCTTTCAAACACGGAGGAATTGTTCATAAGAACACATAATGCTGGGGAGCACTTTGCAAAACAACATTTAATATTTTGTTACAATGATTACATTATTTGATTACATCATTTATTTAAATTCCACAATATTATGTTCTAGAAATAAACCAAACTGAATATTTTGAAAGGAGAATAAATCCATTTCCATATGGGTTTGGAAGAAAAACAAACTGGTCATGATCTGTTAAAATACACAACCATAAAACAAATGTTTCTTTATTTTTTTTTACAAAATCTACAATTTTCTACATCAAATTTAAATATTTCTTTGTTGAAAGGTCTATTTAGGTTGATTCGTAAAATCTGTCAGATTTTTGATGCCTTTAAATTGTTTTGTATGTTACAACTAAGTCATCTTTTTTCTTTCTATACACATTTGAAGAAAACAAAATCGGTTTACAATCTATACTCAAACAATTTGTCTTATAATGCATGCCCTATTTGTTTTTACAACAAACTAATAAAATGTTTTGTAGTTTTCTTTGTTTTAACCCATAGCTTATATATTTGTTTGTTTATGGCAAACAAAGAAACAAACAATATGAGACATACTTACACTTATCTAATAATATCTAACACATTTAATGTGTCAATATTTAATCTAACTACTAATAGTGACAAATTGTGGTTTAAGTGGGTCCTTTTTTGTTTGTTTATTTGTTTTTTAGATCAGGCATACTTTTTTAAACTTTATTGAAATATGAGTCAGAACAAGAACAAACAAACAAGTAAAATATTAAGTATATCAGCGATACAAAAGTAATACAGTAATTACATAACAATCATATATTACATCTCAATATTGTCATACAGAATAAAAGGAACTACAAAGGAAAACAAAAAACAAAAAAACTAACTAAATAAATAAGAAAAAATAATAAAAAAAATTAAACATATAAATTATTCAGAGGTTTCGAGGCAAAAAAGATTATAATTAGGAAGAAATATGTTACTCTTCTTATCATTAATTAAATTAAGGTATTTATTCAGAGATTTTGGCTTTGATATAAAATGAGTTACATGAGGTGCAAAATTTTCTAACATTTTAGATCAGGCAGACGTAAAACAGCTTCATGGGTCCTGACGACGTGGGAATGACGTGAGAGGAAGGTTAATCAGCTGATTTTGAGCGATGAAATAAACCAAATAATACGGATTTATCTGTGAGAAGACGTCCAAATCCAACTGACAGCGGATGGGATTATGTTTGGTCTTTGTTGAAATGCTATATTTAGGTAAGTCCCGGTTCTCAGGGCTTTAGCGTTCATTCGTGGTGGTATTTATGCTAAGTCAGTGTTACCTGACTGCACCTCGGCAACAGCTAGGCCTGTGTTGCTTTGTTATTATTGTTTGTTATAATCAATAATACTGTTAAATCGTCGCCAAGAAAAGTATGAAGATCATAAGTATTGCAGACTTTTCCCTAAATTTAAGTTTTATATTTTCTAAGTGCGTGTGTCGCTGCGAAATTAGGAATCGTTAAACTGAACTAGAATTAGCGTTAGCATTAGCTGTCGGCTTCTTCTCTACATATACAGAAAGCTGTTGTTGACACACAGCCAGTGTTAATTGGTTTGGGCTAACGCTAGTTAAATTTAGTTTAAATATAATTCGCCATAACATGCAGCTATTTCAAAAATTATGTTGCAGTCTTTGTTGTTTTAATACAAAAACAACAAGGAAACACCGAATTGTGTTTATTTCTCCCACTAAACAATTGTCTTATGACGGTTTTGTCCCGATTAACTTTAAAACAAGTGTTTTTTATGTTTCACTGTTGGGTTTAATACATAACATTTTTTAAATTTGAATGACTTAATTAATTGTTAAAGCTAAATAAATAAATACAAGTATGCTCATCTGTTAACTTGTCTTTTCAAACAGTATTAAAAGTATAAAATCTTTGTTGAACATTGAATTTCTCTTCTCTGACCCAGAAGAGACCCCAAAAAGAATATCAGATGAAGGAAAATCTATTACAACAGACAGAGATTAAACATGAGATTAGATATTACATTAAATCTAAAATGGTGTTTCTCAAATGGGTGGAATTTACCTGACACTGAATACGTAATATTGATTCCTAAAATAGATTTAATGGTGATAATGAGACAGATTTCAGAACCGAGTTTCCAGTTTAATGTTTCACTCACACACACAAAATAATTGCATGTCTATTTTCCCCCAAAAGGAATAAAGTAGAGTTGTCAGTTGTAAAGGAAATGTTTTCTACCTCACTGAGAACATTTTGGTGGCACCACAGGACACACAAGTGCACATGGTCTACCTTTGGGGACAATCTGTGCAGCAGCAAAAACAAATCTATAAAAAGAGAGGCCTTTGTGTGTCATGAGGCTTTTAAAACATGTGTTTCAGCTGAGAGTAAAGATATTGCTAACGCTCATAACAATCAATTAGAGAAAAATAAGTAGGTCCTCTGGATGGGTTCTTCTGTAGTGGAACGTTTCGTCTCTCGTCAAAGAGACTTCTTCAGACAGATGAGTTTCAGGTGAACTCAGCCTTAAAGAGTAACTTACCCCAAAATTAACTTTTTTTAGCTGATAAACTGTCTAGAATGTGTCTAAAATGTTATATAGTACTGTTTCTGAGC